TGTGTGTCAAATTAAATCCATATTGTTAACAGGTCTCAGTAACTTGAGTTTATCATGAAAAACAACCCTGACAACTGTTTAGTGGCTTATTATAAGTGCATATGACAAACACTTTAAAGTGCCTTTAGTTGCATTTCTAGGAACTCTCCCTTGAATTCTCTAGGAATATGGAATAGTTTGGATACAGGAGAAGATCTACACACACTACAACCATTTTTTATTTGCTGTTAGTGACGTCAACTGACCTTCATTATGTAGCTTTTACCTGCAAAAAAAAAAATCCATATTTTTTTATAGTCTAAATTGACTGAATATTTTTTCTCCCCATATGTGGTCAGAAGCTTAGCTGTTAAACTAGCAGAAAGCATATTCCCAGATACACTTCCATAAAACAAGACACCAGTCCCAAATCCTATTGAAAATCCACTTATTATTCTGAGATTCTTACCCGTGCAACAGGTGCTGCTTCAGCTTCAGAAAGAGGTCAGTAGATAAACCTGTGTAAACCTTGCTGGATGTTAAACTGCAAGGCATGTTTAGCACCATCCTAGATTCCAGTTCTGGATTCTGAGCTTGGCATACAAGACCAACACAACACAACTTTTAATTGAGACCAGCTGAGTCTTAGGTGGTCTCAATTACACAAAGTAACCCCACCTGTGCTATTTTGAATCAGCACCAATTTATTTTACTCACAGAAATGACCATAGAAACACTTTTTTCCTGAAACAAATTTGCAGGCTGTTTCTGTCCACGTTGAAAGCAGGATATATTTCATCCCCCAAGAATTCACCCTTGTCTAGACAAAAGATTTTAATACAGACTGTGTAATACTGTCATGTCAGGGTTGACAGAGAACCTGTCAGCAGCCTGGCAATAAGTGACGAGGAATTTAAACAACTTTTAGGAAATATTTACTGTAATGCTGGGTGGAACAAACGTAATGCAGCCCAGACCAAAGGTCACCAATCCAAATGTGTATAGTGTCACCAATGGCATGTCACTGCATGCACAGTGTCTTCAGTGTCACCAGTAAGAGTGTGTGCAGTGTCTTCTGTACTGCCAATTAAAGTATATACAGTGTTTTATGCCTGAGACTTTTGACCAATTGTGTTGTGACACCATAGTGTACAAAAAGTATAAAAGAAACACTTGAGAGCAATAAACAGCTTCCTGATCACCTTACACCTGGACTACCTCTGATATCTGTGTCGTTTTAGCCGTTCTGACTTTAACAACGACACTGTCATACCAATCGAGACTGTTAGCACCCATTTCTCTTCAAATTACAGAACATACAAGTACACCATTGAGTTTCAAAGAAACTTGTCATCCTGGCTTCTTCCCTTTGGCACTGAAGGAAGGAGATTTATACCTCTTTCTGCAACTGCCTGCTGTGTGTAGTGTTACTCAGGTCACTATTTCTTCCTTCCTTTAGTCCCTAGGGAGACTGGGCAGGGGAACAAAATAGCTACACTGCACTGGGCATCACAACATGGAATTCTTGCTTTTAACCAGACAAAGTTCTGCTGACACTGGAGTGCTGAAATCCATGGGTTGTGAAGGCATGACCAGGGTACCACATCCACCTCTGCCAATCCATCCAGCCACTGAGAAAACAAACCCACATGCTCCAAGGTCTTTCAACTGTGCATCCTTTCCTCATTTTACAGAAATCTGTGGCACATCGATTCCATGCCACAGTTGATTATTTTCTTGCTGAAGAAAGCCCCAACAAATGGAAATTTCATAAAGCACACAAATCCTAAACCTAAAAACCAGCTTTTACTAAAACCAGCAGTTGGGAGAGGATTCAGAGCACCACACTGAGCTCCCCTCAGACTCCTGGGGCACAATTTCAGTCACTGACAGGAAAAACTCACCAAGGGCTTTGCACTTGTTTTGAAAGGGTGCAAACGAGAGGCTGCCAGAATTATGAATGAACACTCTTCATCTGCTATTTTTTGCTCATTTTGGCTTTTTGAGGTTTGTCAAGCCTATATTGCCACCAAGCTGGAGTTCAGCCCATGGAGCTGGAGAACCTGAAATACCCTCAGCCTTGGAGAACTGCATGGGGGCAGTGTTTTACATTTTACTACTGGTATGACACAGAAAAAGAAGAAAAACATAACGGAAAAAAAAACAGGAAACGGGAAGAAGAGGGAATAAAGGTAGAAAAAAGGGCGGAAGGAGGGAGAAGGGGAAAAAGGAAAAAAGCGGGGGAATGAGGGGAAAAAGGAGGAAAAGGGGGAAATGGGTGGAAGAAGAGAAAAAGAGGGGTAAGAAGGAAAAAGGGGAGGAAGGGGAGGAGGAGGAGGAAGTGAAGAAAAGAAGAGGAAGAAGGAGAAAGGGGGAGAAGGAGAGGAAGAGAGGGGAAAATTTAAAAAAAAAGAAAAAAAGAAAAAAAAGGAAAAGAAAGGAGGCAGGAGAGGCTCGCGATGCAGAGATGCAGAGATGGCGGAGGGCGCCCCGCGACGGCCCCTCAGGGCTGAGGCGATCCCCCCTCACCGCTCCCGGGCCGTCCCT